AGTGGCCGACACGTGGCGGAGAAGGGAATGACAGCTGGCCGGTCGGTTTAGCGGCCGACGGTTGGGTTTCTTCATCCCGACCCATTTTTTCCCGGACGATCAAAAAGGCCCGGGCTGGGGGGCTCTTGGTAGGGAATATCCCGACCGACATAGCTTCACCACGACCGAGAAGCCTTTGTCCTTTTCTCTTTGTCTTTGCAGGTAACAGGTCGGGCTCCTTGAGAAGAACCCGGTCGGGGGCCGACCGGGAGTTGCCCGAGCGACGGTGTCGACTGCCGAGCGGTAGCCCTTTCGCGAGAGAGCTGACGAAAGACACGTGGCGATTCTCTACGACGACAGACAGGGCACCCGGGAGGGCGACACGTGGTGGCTACGTGGAGGACATGCCGAACGGCTGGAATCCTGTCCCCGGCATAGCGGCTATAAATACCCACAGTAGCTACAGTGTAAGGGATTTTTGGACGATCGATAGGTTGTTGTTAGAGAATCCCGACCGCAGTCAGTCGGTACTCAGAGCAACCAAGTAGATTGTACTTAGGGCCTTTACCGTGATCAATAAAGATATTTACTTGCTTTAATTGGTCTCGAGTTGTTATATATTGCTCACGTATAATTAGCAGTATCAGATGTGTTAGTTCTTTCTAAGACAAATAAATAAGAGCTAGCATGTTCAGGAACCGGGGTGGAATAATTGATCGATGTGTTAGTTCTTTCTAAGACAAATAGATAAGAGCTCGCATGTTCAGGAACCGGGGTGGAATAATTGATCGATGTGTTAGTTCTTTCTAAGACAAATAGATAAGAGCTAGCATGTTCAGGAACCGGGTGGAATAATGATCGATGTTAGTTCTTTCTAAGACAAATAGATAAGAGCTAGCATGTTCAGGAACCGGGGTGGAATAATTGATCGATGTGTTAGTTCTTTCTAAGACAAATAGATAAGAGCTAGCATGTTCAGGAACCGGGGTGGAATAATTGATCGATGTGTTAGTTCTTTCTAAGACAAATAGATAAGAGCTAGCATGTTCAGGAACCGGGGTGGAATAATTGATCGATGTGTTAGTTCTTTCTAAGACAAATAGATAAGAGCTAGCATGTTCAGGAACCGGGGTGGAATAATTGATCGATGTGTTAGTTCTTTCTAAGACAAATAGATAAGAGCTAGCATGTTCAGGAACGGGGGAATATTAGCTAAGACAAATAGATAAGAGTAGCATGTTCAGGAACCGGGGTGGAATATTAGTTCTTTCTAAGACAAATAGATAAGACTAGATGTTCAGGAACTGGAATAATGATCGATGTGTTAGTTCTTTCTAAGACAAATAGATAAGAGCTAGCATGTTCAGGAACCGGGGTGGATTTAGTTTTTCTGAATAATGACTGATGTTCGATTGTGTGTTTAGTTCTTTCTAAGACAAATAGATAAGAGCTAGCATGTTCAGGAACCGGGGTGGAATAATTGATCGATGTGTTAGTTCTTTCTAAGACAAATAGATAAGAGCTAGCATGTTCAGGAACCGGGGTGGAATAATTGATCGATGTGTTAGTTCTTTCTAAGACAAATAGATAAGAGCTAGCATGTTCAGGAACCGGGGTGGAATAATTGATCGATGTGTTAGTTCTTTCTAAGACAAATAGATAAGAGCTAGCATGTTCAGGAACCGGGGTGGAATAATTGATCGATGTGTTAGTTCTTTCTAAGACAAATAGATAAGAGCTAGCATGTTCAGGAACCGGGGTGGAATAATTGATCGATTGTTAGTTCTTTCTAAGACAAATAGATAAGAGCTAGCATGTTCAGGAACCGGGGTGGAATAATTGATCGATGTGTTAGTTCTTTCTAAGACAAATAGATAAGAGCTAGCATGTTCAGGAACCGGGGTGGAATAATTGATCGATGTGTTAGTTCTTTCTAAGACAAATAGATAAGAGCTAGCATGTTCAGGAACCGGGGTGGAATAATTGATCGATGTGTTAGTTCTTTCTAAGACAAATGAGATTAAGACAATAGATAAGAGCTAGCATGTTCAGGAACCGGGGTGGAATAATTGATTCGATGTGTTAGTTCTTTCTTGGGTTGCGCTTTGAAGGTGCCGAAGACAAGAATTTTCCGGCGGTGGTCAGATGCGTGCGGGTGAGCGTTGTGGACAATGGGGAGGATCAGTATCAGTGAACATAGTCGGGCACGTGTTCAAGGGGATTCTCTACGACCAAGGACCGGAGAGCCGGTACAACATCGCCGGCAGGTGAGCGTTGTGGACAATGGGGAGGATCAGTATCAGTGAACATAGCCGGGCACGTGTTCAAAGGGATTCTCTACGACCAAGGACCGGAGAGCCGGTACAACATCGCCGGCGAGAGCTCCACCAGCGGTGGCGGATTTCAACAGCCCAGTAATCTTCTGAGCACCGCCGCGACTGCTGCCACTAGTAATGTGTCGCCACCTTCTTACCCAAAAAAGAAAAAGGTTGCCATGAGAGAGAATGTAGCTATAGTTTATAGCTAGTTGTTATTCATTTGCAATTCCAATGAAGAAGTGTTTAGGCATCTCACTTGGTATGGCCGGAGCCAAAGGGGGCAGGGGGTCAGCTGCCCCTCATCCCATCTCCACCCCATATATAATCTTTGTATGTATATATGTATATATATTATATAGTACATGTTTCAGTATTAGTATATAAAAACTATTGACCAGGACTATGTGGTCTAATGGTACTCAGGTTGGACTTCTATTTGGAAGATTGTGAGTTCGAGCCTCACTAGAAGTGATTAGTTGGTAGAGCATGTGATAGATTATGATAAAGGTTAGGAGTTTAAATTCTATGGTTGTCAAACAACTTTTTTAATTAATTATGTTTCATATTTTGTTATGAATATTTTTATAAAGTTTCGATGTGTTATTTTTCGCTCATATCCCATAATATTTACACATATATTTCTTAGGTAATTTATTTATTTATTTTTTAAATATTTCTTTTATTTTAATGTTTCGCCTTTACTGAAAAAAAAAAAAAAATCTGAATCCATTCTTATTTCGCCCCCCTCAACAGACTTCCTGGCTCCGTCCCAGTCACTTGGTCTACAACCTTTATTATGGCTTCCATGTTGTGCTTGTGCATATGGTTCAGTTGTCTTATAGCTAGCCTGAATTCCCCCATTGTTTATTGCATTAATTATGCTTTGTTTATGAACTTCAATGCAACTTTTCCCCCCGATTTTCTTCAACCTTGTGAGTTCTTTTAATATCGACAAATTTTTTCAAACCAACATTTTTGTCTTAAGGGTTATGGCAATGCTGTGTTCTTGGTATATTCCCAGATACTGGTTGGCTGAAATTTGTGGAAAAGAATGAAAGCTTTTGGTGGGAACAGCACTGTATATAGTGTATATATTGCTTGCAAACAATACTGTCATATACTCATATTGATTCCTTAGTAACAATCTCATATACAAGGGAGACAAGCATACCAAAAAATGATGATAAACCAATGACATAACAATTCACAAGCACTAACTTGCTTTAAAAAAACTCTAAGGGTGTGTTTGGTTGATGGGTTTTGCCCATAGGAATGGGTATGAAAGTGATTGTTATTGTTTGGTTGATAGATTTTTAAAGCACTATTATGTGTTTCAAATACCCCATCAATTACAAAACACATACCCAAATAAAGTAAGGGTTTCATTCCTTTATTCATTCTCAAGCACTATTATTAGTAATCATTCTCATTCCACCCTACTACCAAACATATTAAATACTTTCACCAAAACTCATTACCATTACCAAGTATTTGATACGCATTCCGATTCCGATTCCGATTCCCATGTGCGAACCAAACACACCCTAAAATTTACCAATTTTTTTTTAATGGTAAAAGAACATTTAATATAGATATTTAATACAAGCTAGCATGCATATAGGTGATGTGAAAAAGCAACCTTAGTTCTTCACATCTTGACTAAACAAGGCTGCCCAACCATTGACAGGGCGTTTGGTTGGAAGAAAGGAATTAGAGGGGGGAAATGAATTATAATTCGGTGGGAAAAGAATAAGGTGAGAATAAAGTAGGAATTCAAATCACAGTATTTGGTACGCAAGAATAAGATTACAAGAAATTGAAGGAAAGAAGTGATACAATGACTAAAATGTCCTTATGTACTACTACTACTAATAATAATAATAATAATAATAATAATAATAATAATAATAATAATATTGATGGGTTTGTTTGGTTTCCAACTCGAGTGCAGCATGAAAGCAACTTGCGTACTGGGTAGAGGCGTAGAGCTGAGCAATCAAATTTAGCCTCCAGTTGTTGCGCATAAGTGAGGGCAAAAATGTCTTCACGCTCCTTTTTTTCTCCCATCCAACACCGAATTGCAATTCTTTGGGGGAGGTCTGAATTCTAATTCAGCAAATGGAGAGAATTGCAATTCGATGGTATTGCAATTCCCTCCAACCGAACAACGTAATTGTGGCCTCCATTGAATTCCAATTCAACTACAGCTAAATTACGGTGAACCAAACAGGCCATGAATGCTTCAATGGCATTCTTTTCCACAACTTTCAGCCACCAGTAGCTGATCAATTGGATCATTCAATGGTCGGTCAGCCTTGTTTAGTCAAGATGTGAGGAACTAGGGTTGCTTTTTCACATCAATAGGAGACAGCAAAAATAATGAAAGTTTTAACATGAAGCACCTAGTAAACTTCCTATAAGATAGAGAAAATGTTGCAAATGCCAAAAATTCTAACTTTCTAGGATGTCCTTATCTCTGTGGTTACTATAATTGTTTGAAAAGTTGGTTTGTATTTGCGGTTTCTCACTAAAATGGTACTTTATCTTTGCCCAATACAATTGATCTAATACAGAGGACACCAGTATAGGGGTCATTGCTGCATCTGTTCAATCATTTCTTTCCAATAACTTTCATTTTCACCCTTTTTCTGAGTGCCAAGCAAGTGGCAACCCACACTATAATCTGAGATTGATGCTGCATAATTTAAGTGGTAGGAAGGCAGTTTCTTTAACTGATTTGATCACTTCTACATATGTGAAGAAGGTCTATCATAAGGTGACTCTTTATGACACAATTGTCCACTAAAGAGGGCAAATCAAGAGAAACACAAACAAATGAAGCAAAATTCAAGCACATGCAAATTCTTATGCCCCCTACCTACAGGCTACAGCCTTCACACCCATGCCAGTTTTCTCCATTACCAGAGCTTACCATGTACTGAGAACACAGTGGCATGCATATGTACAACTTCATCATGCAGCATTCTGTCGCATCATCTCCATTAGGCGCCGTAATTCAGCCTGTTGTTGTAGCCGCCTTAGATGTTCTTTCAAATCCCTGTTTGAAAGTGTCATTGTTGAGACATGAATAAGATGAAATTAAAGACAAAGCAATTAGGTTTGCGAGGGACATTAGACAGCAACCTGCACCGTGGAACATGGCATTCAGATTCTTGACATGCCCGGGCATGAAGCTGAAGAAGATACCACATCTTCTTACAGAGAAGACAGCCCCCAGAAGCTCGTGTTTTGCACTTGATCCCATGTCGTAAGACCCCCTTAACCTTGCGACAATTAGGATACTGGCATTCAGGAGATTGGCATCGTGGAGCATGGACCAGAAGTTCAAGCATTATCCTAAGCTGCAGAGTCAAAATGAAAATAACATCAGACAAATGACTACATGAAATAGAAATAAAATTATACTATTACATCATATATTCCATCTACTTTTCATGAATCATATATATTTCATTGAATAAAACGTGAGTCACCTGTTTTTCTTGTTCTACATCAGAATCTCTGGTGATATTCACCAGCTCCTCACTTGGAATTTGAACATCTTGCCCATGGATTGAAGATAACCCTGGGGTTTGAGCGACCACCATAGGAGCGGATCTGCGGAGACCGAGAGCCTCCATCACCTCGTCTCTGAAACTCGAGAGCTCAACTCTTAATTGCTCCGGAATAGCTTGAAATCCTTTATCAATTATGCGGCTCAACTCCACCATCTGAGCTTCCACCTTGTCAATTCGAGCTTCCACCTTGTCCATTCGAGCTTCCATGGTAGTAGGGTTTTGAGTTCCTGAGGCTTGATGCCATTTGAAATTTTGAGAAAAAACAAGGGAAAAGGGAACAGCATAACAGAATTGCAACAGAAAGACACAACTTACCTCTGTAAAAATAAAAAATAAAAAATAAATAAAAGAAAAAAAATAAATACACAACTTACAATCCAAAATCAAAACTATAAAATTCCAAGTTCCAAAGCATTTCCAAGATCAAAGAGAAGACGGCTATGAGTGCAGTCACCAAAACAAAATACCTTGGAGCAAGTCTGGGAGAAATGAAGTTTGAAGAGGTGAAGAGCAAGGAGAAGACCCCAATGGGCCGAGCCGCCGACTGGGCGAGAGCCAAGAGCGGGTGCCGAAGGTTGATTGTGAGAATCCTTGAAGGTCGATTGTGAACCAGATGCGTTTTCTGGGTTGAAATGTTGAATTGGGGATTTGTCCAAGGGATGTTAGATTATTATTATATTGCTAGTACTAGTATTTGTGCCGTGTGTTGCACGGAATGAATTTGTTATAAAATTTTAGAAATATTTATATATATATATATATATATAATTGTATAAATTATAAAGTCGAATATTATATAATATAATTGAAGAAAATTGAGTTGCACCGATTATGTTTTCTGATGTTATCAATGCTTGAATTCGAATAAATAATTGCCCAATTAATAGCTAATGTGTAGATATACGCATTCGGTGTTGCAACTTTAGAGATTTTATATATCAGTGTTTATAATTTGTATTAATTGGGCTAATTAGCTCGTTGTCTAGCAACTCAGTTATATAAATTATTTATACGGAAGATATATTTTCTATGTAGATCAGCTATATAGCAATTTTGTTATTTTTGTATATAAAAAAAAAACATAATATCAATGGCTTAAATTATACATTATTGAAAATCTCTTTATAGCTAGACGACATTGTTAGTAGTAACGGAATTTTATCCATCATCGTCTAAAGTTAAAACTATCAGACTATCAGGATGGGTGACTCGGAAAAAAGTAACATACAATTAACCGTGATTAAAGACTGATTTTTTCAGTAATAACTCAAATATTATATATTGCAATTAAAGATATGGTTTCGCCCGTGAATTTGTTGTAGTATATTAAGAATATCTGGATTGATATATAATTATTTAAATTAGAACATTAAATATTATATAGTGCAATTGAAGATATAGTTTGGATCGTTTATATGTTTTGATGTTATCGTTGCTTGAATTTAAACAAATAATTGCTCAAATTAATAGCTAATGTGTAGATATACGCATGCAGTGTTGTAACTTTGAAACTTTTATTTATCATTGTTTAGTATTTTTATAAATTAGGCAAACGTGCTCATTCTTTAGCAACTCAGTTATAGGAATGAATTGCTATCCTAATTCATTTGTATAAAAAATATTTTTTTTTGTCTAAATTGCTTTAAAAAAATTTTATTTTTTTGTGTGTAGATATATAGCAATTTTGTCATTAAAAAAAAAACATAATATCACCAATTGTATTTACACATTATTAAAACCTCATATTGTAGACGACATTAGTAGTAGCAACATAATTTTGTCCGTCATCGTCTATAGCTAACATCTTCAGTCCATTAGAATGGGTGACTCGGGTGAAAATATATCATCGTAAAATATCAGTCAATTAGTAATATCATATTCATTTTCAACCAATTATTCTTTTTATTTTCCGTCAATTAATCAATTAGAATATCATATGCAATGGTATTTTTACCTAATTTTAGTTTTATTTTTAATTGGTGATGTAGAATATTATTATTGAAATATTTCCGTTCCATTTTTAATTTACCTTTACTATTGTTTAAAATATGCATTTACTATTGATGATGTAGAATATTATTATTGAAATATTATCTTTTTATTTTTAATTTACTTTTACTTGATGATGTAGAATATTATTATAGAAATATTTTCGTTCTATTTTTAATTTCCGTTCTTTTGTTTTAAATTTTGAAAGATTTATTGTGATATAATTGGTTCACATATTTCAATTATTTATTTTTTTCTTTAATTATTATAAACAGAAATGATATTGTACTAATTAATTTATGATATTTATCAAATTGTATTTTTTTAAATATAAGATTTACACATGTTATGAGGTGTTAAAAAAAATATTTTAAAATGATTTTTTATTAGTATGAATTTTTATTTTAAAATATTTTATAACAATCCAAACACTCCATTAGCCTCCCATAAAAAAACTGATAAAAGAAAAGCCATTTCATTAATGAAATTAAAATTAATTAAAGTAAATCAAATCATGCTATATTTATTTGTAACTGTATATTAATTTCATTTTGAAATCATTGGTTCACATATATGAATTTTTTTTAATTATTATAATTTATAAACGGAAATGATATTCTACTAATTAATTTATAATATTTATCAAATTGTAATTTTAAAAAATATAAGATTTACACATGTTATTGGGGGGGGGGGGAGGGGAGGGGGGTAAAAAGTATTTTAATTTTTATTTATTAGTAAGTATTCAAAAAATAATAATAATTTCCAGCAACTCAAACGCTCCCTTAGTCTCCCACAAAAAACTGATTAAGAAAAGTCATATCATTAATGGTCCATTTGGTTCACGGAATAGGCCTGGAATGGAATAGCATTCCCAGTAATAGGCCTATTACGGTGTTTGGTAGAAATTTCTATTCCCGGGAACATTGTTCCTGGAAACGACCTATTCCCCTTGTAAGGGGAATAGAGATTCCGCCCCCCCCCCCCCCCCCCCCCTTAGGTATTAGGCTATTCCTAAGTTGTCAGGAATAGCCTACAATTAAGATTTCCTATTTTACCCCTCAACTAAATCTAAAATTTACTTTTCTTTAATTTTTATATGAATTTTTCTATTTTTTTTTGTCAGAACTTGTAACCATATTTGTTAGGAATATAGCGGAATAATGCGGAAGCGAAGAATCGAAAATTGAGAATTATAGAAGTTAAATAATAGGGAAAATAATATAAATGACAGAATAAGGCAATTGCTAATTTTGGAGATTATAAAATATATATATTAATCTCTAAATAGAGAATACAAAGAAAATATATATATTAAATATATACTCTACGTGAGAGAAGATAAAGAATTGAATGAATTAAAATTGATGCCTGATTACAAAGGAATTCTAGCCTATTTATACATTTCAAACTAGAGACAAATGTGGTGATTGTAAGAAGACCCAAGAAATTAGGTGAAGATGTGAAACATGGATGCTAGTTTCATGGTGAGTGGTCTTCATGATTTTGAGCCACATATTATATCTAACAATCTCCACCTTGGATCAAATTCATTGTGAGAATTAACAATTGGAACAGCCGACTAAACTCAAGCACTACTTGAACTTAGCAACAGGAAGAGCCTCATAATAGCAGGATGGATCATCATCAACCTCCTGTGCGACTAAAAGAGCATAAGCAACCAAGTTGGTTTCATCATCACTAACATACCTAGCAGGTTTTTTAATTGTCCTCCTAGGACGATCCATAGCAATGGAATACTCTCGTTGTGGCTCGACGAGAGGTGCGGTGCTAGTAGATGCATCATCTTTAGTATTACCATCAGCAGTAGTAACACTATCAATAGGCCTGAACTCAAACTCCACCTTCTCACCAGTACTTTGCGTCTCATCTGTACTGGGAACTTTTCCAGAAGAACGTAGTGCATTTTCATCAAAAGTGATATCTCGACTCAGAATGATTTTCCGAGAATCAGGAGACCATAGACGATACCCTTTTGACTCGAGGCATAACCAAGGAAAATGCAATATTTGACAGCTCTCGGGTTTAATTTACCCGTACTGGAATGAGCATAAGCAGGACATCCAAAAACTCTTAAGATAGAGTAGTCAACGGGATTACCTGACCAAACTTCCTCTGGAATTTTGAAATCAATGGATGAATGTGGAGATCTATTTACCAAATAGCAAGCAGTAGAAACGGCCTTGGCCCAAAAATCACGCCGTTTTCATAACCCAGCATTAGAGAGCATACAACGAGCTCTTTCCAATGGAGTCCTGTTCAAACGTTCGGCAACACCATTTTGCTGGGGTTTACCAGGCAAGGTCTTGTGCCTGGCGATTCCATTTGCCGCACAAAAGTCATTGAAATCTGACTCACAGAACTCCAAGCCATTGTCTGTCCTGAGCTTCTTGACTTTTTTACCTGTCTGAGTCTCAACAAGTATTTTCCACTTCTTGAAAATAGAAAATGCCTGATTTTTATGTTTCAG